TGTGCCACAGCCTGAGAGCCAGCAGGGTGTGTGTTTGACCTCAGTGTGTTTCCCTACTGTCCACCACAGTGACCCTCAGTAATGTGTGTGTGTGTGTGTGTGTGCGTGTGTGTGTGTGTGCCACAGCCAGAGAGCCAGCAGGTGAATGTGTGTGTTTGACCTCAGTGTGTTTCCCTACTGTCCACCACAGTGACCCTCAGTAATGTGTGTGTAATGTGTGTGTTTGACCTCAGTGTGTTTCCCTACTGTCCACCACAGTGACCCTCAGTAATGTGTGTGTGTGTGTGTGTGTGTGTGTGTGTGTGTGTGCCACAGCCTGAGAGCCAGCAGGTGAATGTGTGTGTTTGACCTCAGTGTGTTTCCCTACTGTCCACCACAGTGACCAGGGGCGGAGCTAGACTCTCAGTACAGTGGGGGCGGAGCTTCATCATGGGGCCCTCTGCTACCAAGTCATTTTAAAATTAAAACCGTAAAAAAAAACGTAAAATATCTGATGAATGCATATGTAATAATGTGTCACTTGTTGAGCCAAGTAAGCTTATATGTTAAATAAAACACAAAGGCTATCTCGTTCTTTTCAGAGAACAGTCTGTTTTCTTTCGTTTTGAATTGTTCGGTAAAAGTACACATTTCGAGCTTTCTATAGATATATTTCTCAGGTGTGTGAGCCAAGTAGGCCTACTCTGTGTTTCGGTTCATTTATGACGAGCTCAAGACGAGCTCCAGTTCACTCGCCGGCGTTGAGTTTTTTTTTGTCACGTCCGTTACGGATGTGTATTTCCCTCATATTAAATATAAAACGCATGTGTAGACTAGACTGATATTTTTCTAATGTCTGGACTCCTTTATTAAGTTGTATGGATAAACAGACGTTTCAATATATTGGTATTAAATACATTTTCTGAGAATTTACATTTCAAGTTTTTTTTTACCTCAAATGTCATGTCCATAACGCTGGAATTGCCCAATTTTAAAGAAATTATCCTCAACTAGTTTTGTGGTGTAGGTCTACGTATTTTATAATGTTAACTTCAAATAATACTAATAGTAATTTAAAGATTTGGTAGCATTGGATCTGGACGGGAAGGATAACGCTGGGAGTTGGAGTGTGTCGCGATTCTGCCTTCTCACACACATTTCGATTTCATATCGCATATCAGCCATCATTTCTACTAAAGAAAATGAAAAAAATAGTAACGCACAGTAACTTGGATAAGTAATTTTAATCTGATTACTGGTTTGGAAATAGTAACGCGTTAAATTACTCGTTACTGAAAAAAGTTACCGGCATCACTGCTAGCGAGGGCCCCGTTCCTGTCCAGTGACGCAAGATCGGTGGTGTTTGAGGGGCCCCTAATTGGCACGGGCCCTGGGGCGACCGCACCCAAGCACCCACGCTATCTCCGCTACTGACAGTGACCCTCAGTAATGTGTGTGTGTGTGTGTGTGTGTGTGTGTGTGTGTGTGTGTGTGTGTGTGCCACAGCCAGAGAGCCAGCAGGTGAATGTGTGTGTAATGTGTTGGTTTGACCTCAGTGTGTTTCCCTACTGTCCACCACAGTGACCCTCAGTAATGTGTGTGTGTGTGTGTGTGTGTGTGTGTGTGTGTGTGTGTGTGTGTGTGTGTGTGTGTGTGTGTGTGTGTGTGTGTGTGTGTGTGTGTGTGTGTGTGTGTGCCACAGCCAGAGAGCCAGCAGGTGAATGTGTGTGTAATGTGTTGGTTTGACCTCAGTGTGTTTCCCTACTGTCCACCACAGTGACCCTCAGTAATGTGTGTGTGTGTGTGTGTGTGTGTGTGTGTGTGTGTGTGTGTGTGTGTGTGTGTGTGTGTGTGTGTGTGTGTGTGTGTGTGTGTGTGTGTGCCACAGCCAGAGAGCCAGCAGGTGAATGTGTGTGTAATGTGTTGGTTTGACCTCAGTGTGTTTCCCTACTGTCCACCACAGTGACCCTCAGTAATGTGTGTGTGTGTGTGTGTGTGTGTGTGTGTGTGTATGTGTGTATATGTTAAAACACTGTGGTATCAACTGTTCACAGATATTGTAATTTGTTACACTGTTAATTTGTACAATTAATTTAATTTGTCCATTTAAATTTAACTTATGTTATAATATTTTATTATTTTGATGTCTTTATAATTAATCTATGTATTCCAAGATTTGGCAATATTGTAATATGTACAGTCATGCCAATAAAGCAATTCTGAATTGAATTGAATTGAATTGAATTGAATTGAGGGTTAGAAGTGCAGCGGCTCTGCCATCTGCTGGTCACTGATGAGGTTTATATTAAAGATGCTGCATGTCACTGTTATACATAGAAAGTAGACAGTAATGAAAAGTTATTAGCGTATGTTGTGTGGTTGATGTCCAGTGTTGCTGAGCAGAAACACATAATCATGATTCTCTTGGGTTTGAGTTGGGTTTCTCCTCAGCGTAAAGGTTAAGAGCTTCATCTATCACTGTTTTACATGTTCGTAGAGTTAGCTTGTGGAGTAAATATATAGGCAATAATCTATGTTTACTTTTTTTTTTAAATGGCGGGTGCTGGTGTTTCGCGTGTGTTCGGCCAGTCAGTGTACACACTAACGTCACGGATAGTTCCTATAGTGCTGGTTTAGACCCGACTCCAAAAGGAGGAACTAATGGTTCCTAGTTCCTGCGGTTAGAACGCGCCAAAATCCGGGTACTTCCGCCAATAGTTCTAGGAACCTTATGTTTGCAGATATTTTCCGGACTATAAGTCGCACTTTTTTTCATAGTTTGGCTGGTCCTCCGACTTATAGTCAAGTGCGACTTATATATCAAAATTAATTCAGACTGAGATGAACCAAGAGAAAGCATTAGCGTCTCAAGCCGCGAGAGGGCGCTCGAGTTAGTTCAGAAGCGACACCGAGGATGAAGAACTCAATGGATACTAGGGGTGTAACGGTACACAAAAATCACGGTTCGGTACGTACCTCGGTTTTAAAGTCACGGTTCGGTACGTTTTCGATACAGCAAAAAGAAAGAAATACCAGAGAAATTTCCCATTTGTTAAAAGAAAAAATATTTTTTAATAACTGTGTTTTCCTACATCTTGAAACTTTCAGGTTTATTAATGGGGGTCATCTTTGAAGGATGAACAAATAATGTTTTGGTCATCACATTAAAAATAACATTTAAATATATATTTATTTATATATTATTTGAGTTTTGAAGTGCTGGAAAAAGATGTGTGAAGTACTTGAAAGCATTTCACTATTCCAGCCAAGGTTACAGTTAGTGTTACTATATTAAATCCATGGTGAATGTTGCTGGTCTGTGGACGTAAAGTATTACTAGTTCATTCACGGCACAATGTTTCTCCTGGTGTCCACGTCAGCGCTGTTTGATCTAATAGAGATCTACGGTTAATAACGGAGAAATGTGAATGCTTCTCACTAGATCTCACAGCGATGTTATTACTTCAGTGGCGAACTCAAATGTTTTCTTCACTGGATCTCTTAGCGCTGTGTTGTAACAGTGTCGCTTGATCGAGATCGGCTCGCGCTGCACAGATGTTGCTGCTCCGAACTGATAAACGGTCCGTGAAGCACAATAATGAGTAGCGCAGTTTCGTTCCGCCTTCATTACGTTTGCCATTTGATGTTGCGCAGCGTTGTGGTGATCGCGCCAGCGGGAATTTTGTCGGCAGGAAAAAATGGTCCAAGGAATCGTTCGGTTTGTATGCGTACCGAACCGGAAGCCTCGTACCGAAACGGTTCAATACGAATACATGTACCGTTACACCCCTAATGGATACAGTGATGTGGAATGAGATCGCGGGCGCTCGGTGAACTTGCTAACCGGTAACTTGCTGCTTATGCTAATTTAGCCTATTCATCCTCCCAGGTGTTCCTTATGCTATTGTGCAGCTGAATAACTGTTAATGTGTTACGGTAACACACCGGACACCTATTCCGCCTGTTGTTCTGTGTTTTGTAGTTGAGTAACTTGCTTTTCCAGATTAAATGTCTGTTCTTGGATTTTGTGAAATAAATTTCTAAATAAATACGACTTATAGTCCAGTGCGACTTATATATGTTTTTTCCCTCTTCATGACGCATTTTTTGACTGATATGACTTATACTCCGGAGTGACTTATAGTGTGGAAAATACGGTACTCGTTTCTCTGAAAAACACGTCTACAGCCAGTTATTTTACTTTGAAATGTGCGTTCAGTGTGAAAATGTGTTGTTGTAGTTTTGGTCTGTGTGACTCCACCCACTGCCAGTTCAGCCAATAGTATTCCGACACCCCGGGATGCCAGTTTGCAGGAAACGCAGCGTATTGCAGCCAGCAAACAAACTGGGTCAGAGATCGCAGATTCTACCCAACCTAAAAAGCCTCGGTATCCATCTAAACATGTACCACAGACACATCGTTTTATCATTTTTGTAGTATAAAACACCATAAAACCAACGAGAGTTTCAAATCTTCCAATGTTTCTCTATGGCGCTGAAACCTAAAGATGTTCGAGTTACCCGTGCAACTGATACTACACTGCCATTGGCTGATCTGCGTTCGAGGGGAGGGGCTTACTGATAGGTCAATTGCGTCTCCTCAATCTGGCGACCCGCTAAGTGTCTGAGCAGGAGGCGGGAGAAACAACCATCTCCGCTATTTTGAATTTGGACTGCAGTACCGGTTTCGACCACTAGCTGTCGATTTTACAGACTGCACCTTTAATCTCAGACAGACACGGATGCGGTACCTGCCGAAGGCTCCGTACGTGTTGACGATCCTCAGCGGGTCAAACGAGGTGTTCATCACCTGTCTGGAGCTCAGCAGGTTCATCACCACCGGGACACTCAGATACGCTATCAGGAGACCCAGAGACACGTTCAGCACACGTCTGATCAACACACCTGAGACGAGAGAGAGGGAGAGGGAGAGAGAGAGAGAGGGGGAGAATCCTTTAAAAATCTGATTTATTTTACATTAAATTTTCCAAAACACAAAGAACAAACGTCTTTAAAAAAAAAACCTGAAACAAAAAATAAAAATAAAATAAAAAATAAATAAAAATAAGTACAAATAATAATGGAAAATTTTACAACTCAACTTATAACACTCCAAAGCTTATCTGATAACCTTGCCCTTCATTGGGCTCACAGATCACACCTTCTGTTCCCCACATTAAAAAAAGGTCTCAATATCATTTACCAATTCATAATAAGCATCAAACGGCCCTTTATAAAACCTTTTAACATCTGCACTAAATCTACTCCACTTAAATTAAGAGTCCTGTTTTAAAAGAGGGAGAGAGAGAGAGAGGGAGAGAGAGAGAGAGAGTTCAATTGATCAAAAGTGACAGTAAAGACATTTATATTGTTACAAAATATTCTGTTTCAAATTAATGCTGTTCTTTTGAGCTTTCTATTCATCAAAGAATCCTGGAAAATAAAAGGTATCAGTTTCCACAGAAATGTGAAGCTGCACGACTGTTTTCTGTCTGCTATTTTATAGGGATTTTTTCTCATTCTAAACATATAATTATGTAGAATCCACTGTTTTGAGTAATAAAATATGATACAATAATGTGCATAAACTATTTTGTCTATACCACCCATCTCTATACACCAGCTCTTCAAAAGACATTAACACCGTTATTCAATAAAGGCATATTCAATTGATCAAAAGTGACAGTAAAGACATTTATAATGCAGATAAATGCTGTTCTATTGAACTTTCTATTCATCAAAGAATCCTGGAAAATAAAATGCATCACGGTTTCCTGTTTTCAACATTGATAATAATCATAAATGTTTCTTGAGCATCAGATCATCATATTAGAGTGATTTCTGAAGGATCATGTGACACTGAAGACTGGAGTAATGATGCTGAAAATACAGCTTTGATCACAGGAATAAATTACACTTTACTGTATATTCACATAGAAAACAGCTGATTTACATTACAATAATATTTCACAATTTTTACTATTTTTTTCATGTTTTATTATTAGTCTGTTTTTTGTTGTTTTTTACAATTTTGCTAATCCGGTTTGATTCTGGTATTTATTGCATTTGTCTTGATTGTACAGCACTTTGGTACAACATTTGTTGTTTTTAATTGTGATTTATAAATAATCTTTATGCTTATTAGTGGAAAAACAAGCTTATATTAAACTCAACAGAAACATAAAAGATTATGCAGAGAAGATCCCACAAAACTACAAGCGGTTTACGGCATATTTATTATTATGATTATTATAAAAAAAACTGGTTACACTTTATTTTAAGGAGACGTAGAACTCAAATATTAATTAACTACATGTACTTAGCATAGAGTTAGGGTTATTTACTTGTAATTATGCATCATTAACAGTCATTACTATAGTAAGTACATGCAACTACGTCACCTTAAAATAAAGTGTTACCAAAAAACGTTGCCAAACACTCCAGTCTCGGTATAAGTGAGTAAAATCCGACCTTTGGTGGCCGGTGGCCCGCCGTGACCCGCCGTTTCTTCGCTCTGAATCTTCAGTAAAGTCTTTCTGGCTCCTCCAGAGCGGCGGAAGAGAAAAGCCAAAGCAGCGTCATCGAAACAGGCCAGACTGGGAACTATGGTCAGCCAGTTCAGGAAACTCAGATTCCCACTTATGATCAGAACAACCTGTTATTAAAGAGACGTAGAAATTAGGAGTGTGACGATACCGACACGATTCGATACATATCACGATACGGTATTATTGCGACATATGATAAAATCTTAACAAAAAATGTACTGTTGATTAAAATGCTAACTTTGATATTACATTGTGTGTGTAAATGAATAGGTTTGGACTTGGTGCTGGAAACCCAACGCACAGGACAATAGAGACAATATTCATAATTCTAAAACTGAAAATACAGAATTATTTCATGCTTGCACTCTTTCACTGACTAGATATATTTAAAATAATGTCGGCCACTTTTTACTGGTAACATTATCAGGACACACACATATTCCCCCATTGCTTTATTATACATTATATGAGTAGTTTAATGCAGTACTGACACTAATCAACTTGAATTTTTTCATGCACAGTAATTTCCATTTTGAGTGGACTATACACAATACATATTGCTGCATTTTTGTATTGCGATATATTGTTCCACCCCTGATAGAAACACACTTCAAATGAAAACAGGCACTTTTGGTGGAGCTCATCTAGTAAGTGAGCCAGTGATGCCACTAGATGGCGACAAAGTTGTGATGAACTCCAGCAAACTGCTCTGAAATTATCTGGGAAATATGAAATATTAAAACATGAAACCGGCCTGGAAGAGGATCTGCAGGACGCCGTTGACCAGACACATCCGGCGGCCCATGAAGGTGAAGAAGGGCACGACGAGCTCGATGAAGTGATTGCTGAGAGTCTCGAAGCGATGGATCCACCAGGGCGAATGATGCATGTAATAGGACACGGGGTTCGGGACCGGCTGCGTCTGAGAGAGAGAGAGAGAGAGAGAGAGAGAGAGAGAGAGAGAGAGAGAGAG